GGGGATGGGACAATGCCTCAGGGGTCTGAGGACTGTGTGACATGGAGGGTGTGAATGTGGTGTAGACTATAAGAGTGAGGACTCTGGTGGGTCAAACCTGGTGGGAGTGTGATGTCCAGCTCCTGCTGTGCAAGCACTTTTTTTTTTTTTCCGGTGCTGGGGATAGAACCTGGGCCTTGTGCACGCTAGGCAAGCACTCTGTCACTGAGTCACACCCCCTCAGTGGGGTGGCAGCTCTGGGGAAGTCCTCACTCCTCACTCCTCACTCCCTGGGCCTGCCATGAAACATTGTTTGTTTTCTTGCTTGCTGGGGATGGAATGGAGGGCCTGGTCCATGCTAGGTAAGTGCTCCACCACTGAGTCACACCTCCATCCCTGATTGTGCCCCCCCTAGCACTGTGGTTTGAACTCAGGGCTTCCCACTTGCTAGGTAGGTGCTCTGCCACTTGAACCACATCTCTGGCCCTTTTGGTCTGTTTTTCAGGTAAGGTCTCATGTTTTTCCACGGGTGGGCTTCAGACCAAGATCCTCCTATGTATTATGGCCTCCTGCATAGCTGGGATCACAGGCTTACACAACCACGCCCAGCTTATTGACTGAGATGGGATTTTGCTAACTTTTTGCCCAGACCGGCCTCAAACCTCAACATTCCCAATCCCCACCTCCTGAATAGTTGTGATTTACAAGTGTGAGCCACTGAGCCTGACTTTGTTTTTTATTTATTTATTTTTTTTTGAGACAGGGGTTCCCTATGCAGCCCAGGCTAACCTTGAATGCAAGACTCTTCTGCCTCAGCCTCCTGAGTCCTGGGATTAAATGCATGAACTACCACACCTGGCTTCTGATTGTGTATATCTAACTAGATCCCTGGGTGTGGGGGGGTCATGCTGGTGGCCACAGACTGCACCCTGAGTAGCAGGTGTCAGAGCAGCCCAAGGTTCTCAGGGAACTGAGTCCCAGATGCTGTCAGTAGGAACCACTCACTAACCAGAGCAACAAACTGGCTCCTTCCCAGTTCCCAGTCTCAATGTCTGTCCTCTCCGTCTGGTGCATCCTGGGACTGCCTTCCAAATAAACCCCTTCCACTTGGGTCCTTCCTTGGGGCCACTTCCCAATCCAGGACAACATCCCTGCGTCCCTTGAGCAGTCACTGCCTCAGTCTTCAAAGGGTGTAACACCCAGGATGAGGGGAAGATTGAGTGAATGAGCACACAGGAATCCGGAGCAATGCCTGACCTGAGGATTTAAAAATCCTTTAAAATGTTAGGACATTGTTTGCTCAGCTGTGTTTGAGAAGACCACAAGGCAAGCAGCTTTGCAGGGTCCTTTGTTGAAGTATTTGTTGATAGATTTTTTTGAGACAGGGTCTAGCTGTGTAGCTCAGGCTAGCCTTGAACTCTCCACTCATCTCCCTTGGCCTCCTGAGTGCTGAGATTTCAGAGGTGCATAGTCATGCTCGGCTCCTTTTTGTTGGCTTCTAGGTGAACCTGAGGCCTTATTCATTAAAGATCCAGGATGCTATAGGTAGGTGGGTGCCTCTTGGGGGCTGGTCCAGAATGAGGGTTTATTAGGAACCCAAAACGCCACTCCCTGGTTCTTATTTTCTGAGTCTTCTTTGAACACATCCTGGGGGGGGTTGGTTACTTGTGTCTGTGGTTTATCTCTCACTTATTTTTAATGGCAAAGTCAAGAGCGGTGATTAAAACCAAGAATAAAAAAAATCGTTGTGATTTTTGGCTCCCACCAAAGTGTGTTGGAGGTGGGCAGAGGCCACAGAAAATGGCGAGTAAAGGAAAAAAAGAGATGTGAACAACGCTGCTGCTGACAAGGCCCGTTACCCTCACCCTGGTGTGTCGGGGGACAGCTCCCAGGTTCCCAGAGACGAGGGAACATTCTGGTCTTGTCTCTTCGGATTCATCCTGTATCCCTCCAGGAAGGGAAGCTGGGCGGGGGAAAGTGCGAAAACAGATGGAAATGTAATTTTTTAATGACAGCAGCAGATGGCAAAAAGACACAAGAGTGTATTCACACCATGTCGGAGCCATGTGAAAACGCCCGGCCCAGCCGTAAGTGCGCCGTGGGGCTGTCAGGATGGCTCCCGCGCCAAACCCAGGAGGCGGGCCAGCTGCAGCAGGAGCACAGGCCACAGGGAGGGAGGGACGTGCTGCCAGGCTGTGCAGAGCCACAGGTGGGTGGGAAATACCTGGGACCACCTGGTGGGATCTGGAGCTCTCCTGTGCCCAACTCTTTCCATGGGCTCTGCATTCAGACAGACCCCAAGCTCACGGCTCCCTAGGTCAGGCTAGGTCACGCTTACCAGGTGTCTCCTGTGGCTGCACTGTCACCCCTACTCCATCCACCCACAGTTCTCTTCTAAAACTTGGATGGATACCAGGGGTGGTGGGGCACACCCGTCATCCCAGAATCAGGAGGCAGAGGCAGGAGAACTGGGAATTCAGGCCAGCCTGGGTTACATAGTGAGAGCCTGTCTCAAACAAATAAACAAGTGAATAAACAAAAAACTCCAGATCAAAGTGTCACTCCTCCACACAAATGCCTCCAATGGTTCTTTTGCCTTCAGTGTCAAGTGCAAGTTCTTGAAAGTAGCTGACAAGGGCAGGATGAGGCCCTGCCTGGCTTTCTTGTTTTATTTCTCACCACAGTCAGCAACGAGAATGATTCCCAGGCCTGCTGAGAAAGAGATGCCACCGTTGTTCAGGGAGCTGTATGGAGACAGCTGTCAGACACCACTGGAAGCCTCCCTGCATCGATTCCTTCAAGCTAATTAGGGAACGGGTAAAGGAAAGCCAGAAGCACCTGGCTGGGGACACCAGCTGGTTAGCCTTGCAGGAGGTCACGGATGCACCCACAGCACAGATGGAGGTGCAGGTGTGAGCTCAGGTCCCTGAGCAGGGAGCCCTAAGGAGCTGCTGTCCTAAGGCTGAGGGGCAGGAGAGGGGGCCCAGCTGGGAAGTCCTCCTCTGACCACCATGGCCTGGCTGCATGTGCCACCTGCTTGTGTCAGCTGAGGAAAGGTAGGAAGTGGGCTCAGGGTGGCACTCCATTCTGTGTTTCTTTCCTGCTGTGGGCAGCATTTCTAGCCCCTACTTAGCTAGAGACAGAACCAGCAGCTATACACTGCTACCCCTTATGTCCCCCCAGAGACTGCAGTAGGGGGCAGAGCAGTGGCCCTCCACCCTGAACTGGGAAGTCTGAAAATGCTGACCCTTGGGCCCGCAGAGGTTCTGAGCCCTTCCACCTGGGTGAGGCCAGGGGCAGGAGGTGATGTCCTAGGAGCGTTCCTGCCCCTTCCTCACTCATCACTGATGCTTTGTCTTCCTGGCCCACTGTTCTCCTCACTATAAGAACGGTAGGTTAATCCAGGGCTGAATTAACTCACTCTGCAGGTAAAGTCCAGGTGCCTCCCACATGCTCGACGCCAGGATGCCCTTGCTATACCCATGGACAGTCCTCAGTCCCTGTCTGCCAGCCTGTGTGTAGGTGGAAGTGGGCTCAGTTTCAGGAGGATACCTGGGAGCTTTAAAAAATGAACTTTTAATTTTAGAATAGTTTCAGACTTATAGAAAAGTCTCAAACTGGTTCCTATTTCCCCTGCTGCAAATCTTCGGTCATTTTGTTCCATTTCTGACAGTTTGGGAACCATTATTGACACCTCAGTCACTGAAGTGTGTCTGTGATTCAGGACCTCAGTTTTACCTAATGTCCTTATTCAGTCCTGCCACATCATCCAGGACCCCATGTGACATTGAGTAATTCTGTCTCCTTAGGTCCTCTGTCTGTGACAGTTTCTCAGAGTTGCCTTGTTTTTGATGACCTTGACGGTCATGGGAGCACTATATGGGTGTTTTGTAGAACGTTCCTCAATTGGGATTTGCCTGACGTTTTTCTTGTGATTAGACTGGAGTTATCATTTTTTGTTTGTTTGTTTTAGGGAGTAGGACGCCAGAAGTAGAGTGCCCCTTTTACACATCTTATCAAAGAACTCACCATCAAGTGACCACCATTGCTTGTCAGCTTGTCACTTTCTTTTATGGTGGTACACGATCTGAACTCATGACTTCCGACTTACTTTACCACTTGATCTACATCCCCAGCTTTTTTTTTTTTCTTTTTTGAGACAGGATCTCACTATATGCCGCAGGCTGGCCTCAAACTGTTGATCCTTCTGCCTCAGTCTCCTGAGTGCTGAGATTATAGGCACATACCACCATGCCCAGTTTGTTTTTTGCTCCTTGAAGGACCCCTCTTTCCATATGTTGGAGAATGGTGTCAGAAACAAAGACCTGGGGATGGGGTGGTCTCACCACTGTGGGTGGTGTTGCTGCTCTGCCCTCTAGTGGACAGAACAAGGAGGCATATGTGTGCAATACTAACCCTATGTAGAAGGGATTTATTTATACACATGTATAGGTATTTCAAAAATCACACACATTTCTAGGTCCATCAGTCAAAATTCTGGGATTATTTCAATTTCCAAAGAAATTGAAACCTGTGTGTTAAAGAGATACCTGTACTCTCCTGTGGTTTTGTTACTGTGTTTGGCAGTACTGGGGTTTAAACTCAGGGCCTTGTTAGGAGGGGGCGGACCACTCGAGCCACACCTCCAGCCCTACGAGCCATGCTCACTGCAGAACCACTCACAACTGCCAAGATATGGAAGCATCCATCAACGGATGAATGGAGTTTTTAAAATGTACACACACCTTGGAATATTATTCAGCCATTAAAAGGCAGGAAATTCTGCCATTTGAAACAACATATATGAACATGTTGCTAGGTGAAACAGGCAAGGCACAGAAAGACACATACTGCATGATGTCACTTACATGTGGAATCTATTAGATGACAGGAGTAGAACGTGTATGGTGGGGACAGAGCTGGGGGTGACTGGGGCAGTGGGGTACAAATAATGGTGACAGGTGCTCAGGGTGGTGTCTGTAGTGAGCAATAATGTTTATTTCAAATTAGCTGCAAGAATAGAGGATCCGAGGATGGAACCCAAGGCCTCCTGCACGTGCTCTGTCCTCAGTTCAGAGACTGGGTTTTAAATACTCTCTCCACAAAAGAAGTAAGTACTGTCGAGGTGATGGACACATCCATCAGTCCACAATGTACACACACCCACGTGGTACTTATAAATATATACAATTATTATTTCTGAACTAAAATCACTGTCAGCTGGGTGTGGATGTGGTGCTGCAAGTGTGTCTGAAATCCTAGCTACTCAGGAGGCTGAGGCAGGAGGATTGTTTGAACCTATGAGTTTGAGACCAGCCTGGGCAACATAGCAAAACCCTGTCTCAAAATAAATAAATAACACACAAAACAAAATCCATCAGTGGCTATATGAAGCCAGATGTATTCTCAGAGACATCCGCCACTCTAACCTATAGCTTTCTAGGGGAGGCGCTGTGAGATCAGGAAATACTGACAGAGGAGGCCTGGCCCACCAGTCTTAAGTGGCCCTCCCTGGCTCCATCCTTCTTAGTTAGCTTCTGGGAGAGGAGAGGGTGAGGATGGGCATTTGGAAACCTCTGGGAAGCACAGCCTGATCGGGATTGGGGCAAATCACTGCCCAGGGTTCTCAGGGAGAACCTCCAGGGAGCCCAGACTCTCCAGTCAGAAAGTAGCAGCCTGTGCTTAGAAAAGAATATACATATACATAAAAAAGGCAATTTTAATGAGAAGCAATTTACACAGTATCCAATTCACCCCTTCCAAGTGTGCAATCCAGTGCTTTCTAGTAACTTAGAGTTGTGCAACCATCATCACTAACTCCAGTCCATTTCTAACACCCCGGAAAGACTGTTATCACTCCCCTTTCCTCCTCCCCCGCCCCCCGCATGCCCTGGTGAGCACGCATCTTCCTGCTGCTATGGGTTTCAAAAGGCAACATGTGGGCTTTTGTGTCTGGCTCTTTTTACTCAGCATCGTGCTTTTGAGGTTCATCCATGTTGTAGGAGGATTCCTTGACGATGGCCTGAACAACACCCCACTGTATGGACAAGCCACCTTTTGTCTCTGTGTGTCTGGGGTTTGAACTCAGGACCTCATGCTTGCTAGGCAGGCGCTCTTACTCCTTGAGCCACTCCACCAGCCCTATTTTTGTGAAAGGTTTTTTCAAGATAGGGTCTCGTAAACTTTTTGCCCAGGCTGGCTTCTAACCACGATTCTCCTGTTCTCTGCCTCCTGCGTAGCTGGGATTACAGGCGTGAGCCACCAGCTCCTAGCTCTCTGTGCGTCTGTTGATGGACACTGGGTTGTGTCTATATTTTGGAGATTATGAATTTCACTGCCGTGAGGGGTCAAGTTTGAGGCTTCAGGACAGCACCATCGTGCAGTGTGTGAGAGCGCACGCTGTCTCACCTGTTCCCCCGGAAGCCCAGTGGGGTAAGCTGCAGCATTGACCCCACTTTACAGGTAATGATGCTTGAGATTCTGCCGCCCTCCTGTCATCCTTCTGCTGCAGCCTCTCTGGATGGCGGCGCTCTCGCTAGCATTTTTCCTTTGCTCTTTTATAGGCTGCACAAACCAGGAAGTGAAGCCTTGCCAACTTGGGAACACAAATATTTGCCAGTCAAGAAAACATTCCCCTGTCAATCAAAACCCAGGCAAGCTGGCACACATGCTCCAAGCCGGAGGCAGATTCTATTTTGGCAGGGTCCAGGTGGCCTGCACTTCCCTCCTCCCAGCACCCCAGGCGCCCCCTCTTCCTACCCTGTTTTGAAGATGAAGGAACCGATGAGGCTCAGTGTGGTTGCTTGCTCTCTGTCACACAGCATCCAGAGTGAACTTTGACTTACTTTCTTTGACAGTGTCTTAATTCACGGACTTAGGAAGTCATAACAAAGTAAAATCTCCACGTCTGCAAATGACGCTTTCCGATGCAGATAGGCGACAGATAAAGCTTCCAGGCCATTTGAGTGTGGCCTTGTTTCATGTTCCCAGCATCCCTACAAGGGACAGGCACAGCTGGGATGGGACAGCTTTCCTGCCTGGGTACAGAACCCTGGAAAATATCCTCTAGGCTTCCCCACACCCCCACGCCCAGAGCCTTGAATGTGCTAGGTAAGCACTCTGCACTGAACAAACCCCCAGCCCCAGTCCTTGTCTTTCTGAGATAGGGTTTCGCTGTGTAACTCAGGCTGGCCTCCAATTCTCCATCCTCCTGCCTCTGCCTCCTGAGGGCTGGGATCACCGGCGTGCACTTTTTTTTGGTAAGGCTTAATTATTAGGGTCTCAAATTTGAGTTTAGTCCCCCTCTGTCCTCACCAGTGGCAGACTAACTGCTCCACCCCCGTTAGCTTTCCTGGTCTAACACCATTCCATCAAAATGACCCAGCCTGGTTACAGGTCAGCTTTCTGTCCTCACCCAGGACTTGTGAATCACGGTAACAGTGGGACTCCTCCAGCTAACCGGTGCTATTGACTCACCTGTCCTCTGAATAGTGAGTGGGCTGGAGGGCATCACGGGCAGGTGCGCAGGACTAAACACTGGGGGTGTAGCTCGGTGGGAGAGCGCATGCCTAGCACGTGAAAAGCCATGGATCCCAATTGTCAGCACTTTAAAAAAAAAAATTGCAAACTTGCTTTTTCCCGAATCTCACCTGGTGCCCGCCAAAGTGCTAACTCTGAGCCTCTGCCCAGAAGGGTTTGAATTGGACAGATGTGGAGTAGATTGGAGGAATTTGCTTTTTTGTAGAGAGAGGGTGGGAGGCGTGTCAAATGAAAACTGAATTAGGGGGTCTCTCTGGACAGGTCACACCGTGTTCGGGACCCTTGAACTGAGTTTGGCTGAATTAATGCGTTTACTCCGGGCCCACTGCGGAACGCCAGTGAAGATGCGGGCCCCAAAGCCCACCCCCAGCTCGACTCGGGGTGCTGCCAGCTAGGTGTCCTGGGGACAGGTAAAGGGACATAAAAGGAGGCGCCAGTGGCGGGACGTCCGGACAGCGGCACGTGTACCGCCCTCAGGGGCGGGGCCGATACTGGCGGGGGCGGGGCTGGGGCGCGGGAACGCGGCTCGCCAATCAGCTCGCCAATCAGCGGACTTGTAACAAAAGGGGTCTCCTCCTCCCTCCGCCCTGCTGAGAGCGCCGCGTTCCGATAGGCCGCCGAAAGTTGTCTTCCGGCCGGGGGCGGGCTCTGCGTCGTGGCGGGAAAGCTGCGTCAGTGGGGCTTCTTCAGAGTTACTGAGTGGAACCGAGAGTTCCCGGCCGGCCTCTGACGCCGCCATGGACGCGGCCGAGGTGGAGTTTCTGGCCGAGAAGGAGCTGGTTACCATCATCCCTAACTTTAGTTTGGACAAGATCTACCTTATTGGGGTGAGGGCATCTGGCCCGCCTGGCTGGGGGCAGGGGGCGGGGGAGGTGTCGCCCTGAAGTCCCAGCGTGCCCCGCGGCGGGAGCGGGCTCGGGATCGCGGCCCGTGGCGGGAGCGGGCTCGGGATCGCGGCCCGCGGGCGGGAGCGGGCTCGGGATCGCGGCCCGCGGCGGGAGCGGCTCGGGACGCGGCCCCGCGGCGGGAGCGGGCTCGGGAGCGGCCCCGCGGCGGGAGCGGGCTCGGGATCGCGGCCCGTGGGCGGGAGCGGGCTCGGGATCTCGGCCCCGCGGCGGGAGCGGGCTCGGGATCGCGGCCCCGCGGCGGGAGCGGGCTCGGGGACGCGGCCCCGCGGCGGGAGCGGGCTCGGGATCGCGGCCCGTGGGCGGGAGCGGGCTCGGGATCGCGGCCCGTGGCGGGAGCGGGCTCGGGGACGCGGCCCGTGGGCGGGAGCGGGCTCGGGGACGCGGCCCCGCGGCGGGAGCGGGCTCGGGACGCGGCCCGCGGCGGGAGCGGGCTCGGGGACGCGGCCCCGCGGCGGGAGCGGGCTCGGGGACGCGGCCCCGCGGCGGGAGCGGGCTCGGGATCGCGGCCCCGAGGCGGGAGCGGGCTCGGGATCGCGGCCCCGTGGCGGGAGCGGGCTCGGGATCGCGGCCCGTGGCGGGAGCGGGCTCGGGATCGCGGCCCCGCGGCGGGAGCGGGCTCGGGATCGCGGCCCCGCGGCGGGAGCGGGCTCGGGATCACGGCCCGTGGCGGGAGCGGCTCGGGGACGCGGCCCGCGGCGGGAGCGGGCTCGGGATCGCGGCCCGCGGCGGGAGCGGACTCGGGGACGCGGCCCGCGGCGGGAGCGGGCTCGGGATCGCGGCCCGTGGCGGGAGCGGGTTCGGGATCGCGGCCCCGCGGCGGGATCGCTGCCGGCTTTCGGGCAGTGTCCGCAGCTGACCCGGTGGTTTCCCGTTGCAGGGCGAGCTGGGCCCCTTCAACCCGGGGCTGCCGGTGGACGTGCCCCTGTGGCTGGCCATTAACCTGAAGCAGAGACAGAAGTGCCGCCTGCTGCCCCCAGAGTGGATGGACGTGGGTGAGGACGCGGGCCCCTGTCCCGCTGCGGGGGTCCCCAGGGCAGAGCCACTGCTGCTGCTGTCATCCCAGGGTCTGCTGTGCATAAGAATTTCCCTTTTCTTTTTTTGGCGGTACTGGAATTTGAACCCAGGGCCTTGCGCTTGCTAAGCAGGTGCTCTACTGCCTGAGCCCTGTCCCAAGCCCCTTTTCAAATAGGTCTCCTGCTTTTGCCTAGGTCTAGACCACCGTCCTCCCGCCTCTCTGTCATGCCCGGATGGGGAATTTTTGCTCGTATTTCGATTTTAGATATTTCATCTCGCTTTAAAATCAAGTATATGATGTGAGTGAAATCCATTGTGTGCAGTTAATATACGCTAATATTATAAATGATTAAGAATTAAAATAAAATCAAGTAGATGAGTTCAGAGAAGCATTTGCTTTAGATTTTTTAAAAACATGCATCGTATGTATTTTAAGGGCTGGTTGTGCCATGATTCAGCCTAGAAGGCAATGGCGTTCTTGTAATCCCAGCCAAGCAGGAGGCAGAGGTAGGAGGATCAGGGTGGAGGCCCGGCTGGGGCAAAGTGTGAAACCCTGTATGCAAAACTAAAAAGCAAAAGGGTTGGGGGCTCAGGTCAAGCGGTACAGTGCACAAGGCCCTGAATTCAAACCCTAGTACTACCCCCTCCCCCAAAGAGTAATGGAATTCTGATCCATGACGCAATGAGGATTAACCCTGAAAACATGTGGAATGAATGAAGCCAGGCACAAAGGAGCACATGTTGTATGGCTGTTCATATGAACTGTCTAGAATAGACAGTTCCCTGAGAGAAAGTAGTAACTGCATAGGTATGGGGGATTTGGAGGTCATGGAAGGACAATGGGATGATGAAAATGTCTTAGGTTTGGTGGTCTCACAATTCTGTAAATATGCTAAAAATCATTTATACACTTTGACAGGATTTTGTGGTATGTTAATTATGCCTCAGTAAAGTTGTTAGAAAAACCAAGAGGAAAATGATGTGTCAAGGGTGCAGACAGACTTCATCCTGAGTCTTTGGTTCATTATAGAAGACACATCTTAATTTTATTGTTTTTTGTTGGGGGGGGTGGAGTATGGGCATGCATGTAGAATTTGAAAAGCTCCCTGTGACTTTGACTGTAATCTCTCCATTGAGAATCACCTGGGAGTACCTGTCTCCTAGAAACAAGGACTCTTGTGGAGTCCCTCACAAATCAGTTTAAGAAAGACTGGTTGGCTGTGTCCCCCTTGATCTTTGTGTAATGGGGTGAGTGACACTGGCAGTCCTGAAACATGGTGGGAAACCCTAGTTCTTCTGCTTTGAGGGTTTTGTCTTAGCTGGGAGCCCCACCAGGACTACCTTTCTTAGTGATCCATCTCCAGGCTTACTGTTTAGAATGGGCTGCAGGCAGTTTTGCCCCATCCAGCTCTCAGGTGATGCTTGCCATGAGTCAGGCAGAAGGTGCTGAGATTGGCCTGCACTTTTCTACTAACTGAGACACCCTGTGGTGAGAAGCAGTGAGAACCTAGCCAGTCACCAACTCTGCTGAGAGCCTGTGGCCTCCTGACTTTGGCACTAGAGGACAGTTCTGCCTGTTCTGGGATGTTGTGTAAATGGAGTTACATAGTGTATTATTTTATCTCTGACTTCTCTTGTTCAAGAATGTTTTTCCTGTTGGTCCCTGTTGCTGTGTTCTTTCATTCCTGAGTGCTGTTCCTTTGCATGGAAATACCATGTATTTGGTTGGCCATTCTCTTGGTGGATATTTGGGTTGTTTCCCAGTTTTCACTATTTTGAATAAGACTGTTAGGAATAGTTTTGCTCAGGCATTTTGCAGATAGATGTATGTTTTTATTTTTTGAGGAGGGACGTAAATAAATATCTAGCATGGTGTACTTGTTGGGTCACTGGACAGATGATGCCTAATTTTGTAAGAAACTGCCAATTGGTGCTTCAAAGCACTTGAGCTACTATAACCCTGCCAGAAATGGAGAACAAGAGGTTTGTATTGTACCGTCTTGACCAGATGTTTGCTGATGTCAGTCTTTGATTTGAGGAGAAGTTGAATAGAGTTGTTTCACAATCTGATTCAAATGGTAAAAAATTAAATAATCACAGGGCTAGGGGCACAACTCAGTGGTAGAGTGCTTGACTAGCATGCATCAGGCTCGGTTCCAGCCCTAGCACCGTGCAAAAGAAAGTGACTAGTAGAAAAGTGAGCACTCTGTGTGTGTGGAGGGGGTAGGGAGCCTGGTGGGGAGAGGCTTATCTGGAGATGTAAATGTGGAGTCATCCCCAACACATAGGTGGAGCAGAATGTGTGCCTGGGGTATGGAGAGAGGTCAGTTACTGAGATGTGTGTTCCAGTGTTAAGAGGTCAAGAGGGATTGGAGGGAGACATTAAGGGATGGCCAGCGAGGGCAGGAGAAAGCTCCAGAGAGTAGTGTTCAGAAACCGTGTGATAAATAGTCCAGGAGGAGAACTGAGCAGGCAGGCAGATGCTGAGAAGTAGCCTTGGGTTTGACTGAATGGAGGGTGGAACCTTAGTGAGCTGTGTTGGGAGAGGGATGAGGGGTGAGTGAGGGGAAAGGATCAGTCAGCTGGCAGTTTTGTGGTCAAAGGCATGAGAAATGGGTTAGTGTAACGGAAGGATTTGGTGTCAGGGGAGGGTTTTCTCTTTAACATGAGAGCTGTCTGTGTTTGGAATGAGCTACCAGTGAGGGAGATGATCCTTCAAGACATGCCAGTGCTGGAGTGGGTTCTTGTGCCTCTGTGTGAGAGAGGAAGGTGCCAGCACACCTGGAAGGCAGTTCCTCCTGAGAGTGGGAACGATTCAGAGGGCTAGGGGATTCAGAGGGCTCAGCAAAAGGGCTGGCAGTGGAGAAGAGAGGGCAATGGATCAAGAAGGTGTACCATGACTCCTCCAGAGGTCCTGGAGACCGGGGGCATCCCACAGTCTACAGTCGTGGCTGGGACTTCAGTAAAACGCAGGGTGAGGGGGGGAGGGAGTTGGGACATGTGTAAGGGCAGTGCTGCTGATGCTGGCTGGAACTGAACACAGCTGAGGATTCTAGATGTTGGACTTTAAGGATGTGGTGTCACCTTCATTCTGGGGTGCCTTTAAGCCCCCTAGAACATCATATTGTCACTGGGATGTAGTTTGTAAGTTGCCTGCTCTCTTCTGGACCAGGCCTGGTATAATACTGTTCTCAAGTCATTGATTTACTTTAGTATCAAAAGTAAAATACTTTGTTTTTTCCCTAAAAAAAAGAACTCTGACTGGAACACATTCTTCCCAGGAAAATACTCTGTAGCTAAAACAATAATAAAAGCTTCCCTTCCTTGAAGTTTTCAAGAAGGTCTCAAATTATCTATTCAAAGATACAAATATTCCAAAAAGTTTTTTCTTTTACTCATTTACTAGTTGGTCAAATAGGTAATGTTAGCGCTTAGTAAATTTGAAAGATTTAAAAAAAAAGTCTCATGTAAAAATGTATTAACCTCTAAATTTCAGAAAAGTTGGAGAAGATGAGGGATCGTGAACGAAAAGAGGAAACTTTCACCCCAGTGCCCAGCCCTTACTACATGGAGCTTACCAAACTCTTGTTGAATCAGTGAGTCGGCCTCAGTTCTGAGAGTCCAGGCCTGTGCTGTGATTCTCATCCTTAACCCTGATCCTCTCTCCCTTCTTCCCTGCCCATCACCGTGGTAAGTGGCGGCCAGGCCATCTCTACATGCACAGGCTGTAGAGATGGGTTCTCTCCCTCCCTCTCTTCTCTGTCCACCTATATCTTATCTTTCTCTCTCATTTTTTCTTTTTGCTACCCCCCCCCACCCACAGTAAATCCTTTTTCACTCCTGTCTCGACCGAGACGCCAATATGAGCCACTGCCATCGCCAATATGAGCCACTGCCATCTCCAATGTGAGCCTTTCCCTTAACTGTGTGTGATTCATTTAGTGCAGCTTTGTCCCTCTGCTCTGTTTGAAGTGTGGATCTGAGTTTTTTAGTATTGCATAGAAGAGGCATTGGGCTCACATCTGCTTTTGTCCTGAGCTGTGGGGAAAGCTCCCTCATGGTACTTGGTAGATTTAGTATCTGGGCGTGCATAGATGAAAACACATCATAGTGATCCCTTAGCTTGTTTGCTTATATCCACGTTAGCTCCTCACTGCCTTCTTATTTGTTCTTCATGTGACAACCAGAGTGATCTTTTAAAGGCAAAGCTGCCATGAGCCTCCTGTGCTTAAAATCCTTGGAATCTTTCCAGGGTTTTAGTCTATAATCCTGACTGTGGCATTCAAACCAGTGCACAGACTAGTGTGTGTTTCTTCTTTCCTCATTCCCAACTATCGGGTTCTTCCCTCTGCATCTGTAGGTTTCAGGCTCACATTGACTTCTCTTCTGCAGAACTTTTTTTTTTTTTTTTTTTTTGAGATGAAGTCTGTGCTGCCAGGCTGCCTCAAATCCTGGGCTTAAGTAATCCTTCTACCTCAGCCTCCTGAGAGCAGCTGGGACTGTCAGTGTGCACCACAGTGGCTTGGCCTCTTTTCCTTCTTCTAACATACTGGATTGCTCATAGCTTTGCACATCCTGCCCAATAAGTCTGTCCATTCCCTACCCTCAGCCACCTTGGTTTAGTATAACAAATGTCTCTCCCAGTATATGGCTGTACTCTTCCCTGGTGTTTGCCATAATCACAATTTTCTGATGATTTTTCTGGCTGTGCTATTACACATGTAACTCCACACCCCTGCACTAAATGAGCAGGGCTGTGTCTCTAGCACTACGCCTGGTATACCTGTTTGTTGACTGAGTGGAGTCGGAGGGACAGGCAAGTGTCTACAGTTTTGTCTGGGAGACACTTAGAATGAAACTTGCAAGATGTCAAGTTCTTGAAGTTCCCTGAGCATGTTTTGACTGGTGAGTTCAAGAGCAAAACTGGAACCAAAACTGGGACTGGACTACTATGCCTGTTTATTGCAGCCAGAAGGGTTAGGGTAAAGAGCACTGCTGAATTTAAAGGAGCTCTTTGGAGCTTCCTTGGGCAGATGAGGAAGAGTGAAGCGAAGTGGGAGGGGCTTGGTGTGCTGAGGAAGCAGAGGTATCTGCATGTGTGTAGAACGCGAGGAGGTGTAGAGGAGTGGAGGAGAGGGTTCTGTGGTGGTGGCAGAGGGCCCCTGGGAGGGTGGTCTGCAGGGGTCTGAGGGACCCCTGCTGAGGCAGGGGCAGGGGCAGTGGCTGGAAGTATGGACTAAGTGTGGAATTACTGTTATCTGGTGAGGGGCTCATTCATTTTTAAGTATTTGATGTTCAGTATATCAGCAACCTTGTTCTGTAATTCATTTGGCTAAGGGAGCTAATTTTATCTTTGTATTGCAGTTCAGTTGATGAGGACCAGAGGTCCTTTGTTCTGTAGTCCACTGTTCAGAGCACAAGACCTAAATGTTTAAGTTCATAATATACAATTCACTACATAAATTCATACCACAGATCTGCTTCCTGTCAGTCCTGAGGACATTGTAGCACACGGAAAGAGTCTCTGCTTAACCTAGAGCCACTAGTTATGGACATCGTTTGCTTCTGCTCTGTCTTCTAATCTGCTTCTTTCTTCAAAGGTTGGTTTAAAAATCTGTTTCACAGAGGAGAGCTGTAATTGGCCTGGCTGACTGTAAACTTTCACTGAGAATTTCACTGTGTAGATGTGGCACTGTTCGTGCTAATTTTGATTTCTTCAGCAATTTTTGTAACTTTTTTTTTTTTTTTTTTGTAGAGTGAGACAGTCACTACTCCTCAGGCCTTTTGCGAGAATAGAAATACAATGCAAAGGGCAGAGCACAGGGCTGGCACTTTTCTTCCTGGTGGGTTGTTAGCCTGGGTTGCTTGGTGGGGAGAAGAGATTAGCTCAGAGGCCATGAAATAGAAGGGATGGCCTCTGAGCCAGCCCTTGAAACCAGTTTCAGATGGAAGTTATGTAGCATAGAGTGCTGTTATCCTGGGACAGAAGGTATCTGACTTGGCCAGTTCTCCTGTACTTCGTTCTCTCAGGTAAATGTTGAGCTTGTGCAGCTGCTGGGCACGGACAATTAACATGAACAAATATAACTCCATGTGGATCGCTCTAGGTCAGTTTACTTGCTGAAATCTCAACAATGAAGACAAAACATTTTCTGAGTCTGGAATGCTTCAAATATCCTGCCTGAATCCAACAGTATTTTTTTT